TATGTGGCAATTAATTTGTTATTAGTGTAGTTTTTGTATCATCTGGCACTACATTAAAATGATTCAGCTAAATTTTAATGACATACAAACTAGATCTACTAGTAATAATTATTCAGATTACTTAATTCTTATATTTGACATTCTAAACTGTGATTTTTATCCTTGAGTTTTTAATTTTTAAGATTTTATTTTATTGTGGTAGGAACACAACATTATAAGCTCTACTCTGCTAATAAATTTGTAAGTATGCAAAAGATGATTGTCTATTATAGGTATAATGTATGGTTGATCTTTCTAGAGCTAATTCCTGTGTCTGGGCTGAAATTGACATCTGATCAGTAAACCCACATTCCCCCTCTCCCCGCACCTGGCACCACTGCTTCCTGATTCTACAAGTTGACTATTTTTAACTCTTCATGGAACTGGAAGCCTGGAGTACTTGTCTTTGTGTGATTGACATAGTTCATCTAGCATAATGTTCTTAAGTGAACCATATAGTTTATATTTATATAGATTTCATATTTTATTCTCCTGAAAACCCTGTGATGAAGGGTTCTGCTTAACAATTGACTAAGCTGAAACTTAGAACATCCATAAGACAGATAGAAGAAGAAGAAAACCTGACATGAATTTAGATCCTCTTGTCTCCCAGCTCAACAGCTGTGGTGTGGTGGTCTTTTTTGTTGTTGGTGGTGGTGGTTGTAGGGCTTGAACTCAGATCAGAGCCTGGGCACTGTCCCTAAGCTTTTTGCTCAAGGCTAGTGCTCTACCACTTTTGAATCACAGCACTACTTCCGAATTTCTGGTGGTTAATTGGAAATAAGAGTCTCACAGAGTTTCCTGCCTGGGCTGGCTTTGAACCACCATCCTCAGATCTTAGTGTTCTGAGTAACTAGGATTACAGGAATAAGTCATTGGTGCCTGGCTTAGTGGCCCTTTTTGAGATCTACTAACATGGTTCCATTGATTCCACTTGGAAAACCAGGGGTTGAAGCTCCTCCAGAGATCATCTCCCACTCTCATAACTTTTGCTTCCGCTTTTAAACTTTCTTAGGGAATGAAATAGTTTAGTTCAACAATTTGAGACTTTCTGGTGGTTAATTGGAGAAAAGCATCTTTAGATTTTCCTGTCTAGGTTGGCTTTGAAATAAAAATCCTCAGATCTCAGCCTCCTGAGTAGATAAGATGACAGAAGTGAGTCATGGGCACCTTGCAGAGAAGACAGCTCTCTCCTCTGTTGTCCTTTTTTTTTTTTTTTTTTGTCGGTCATGGGGCTTGAACTCTGGGCCTGGGTGCTGTCCTTCAGCTCTTCAGCTCAAGGCGAGCACTCTACTACTTGAGCTACAGCGCCACTTCCGGTTTTCTGGTGGTTAATTGGAGATAGGAGTCTCACAGTCTTTCCTGCCCGGGCTGGCTTTGAACCGCGATCCTTAGATCTCAGCCTCCTGAGTAGCTAGGATTACAGTGGTGAGCCACCGGCGCCCAGCTCTCTGTTGTCTTTTAACATTTGACATTTCACCATTTCTTTTTTTTTTCTAACTTCTCCCTTTAAATGATAGTACCTGCAATTGAGTAAGTTGTTCTGCTGTTTACCCAGCACTGCATTTATGATACTTTAAGCTCCTATTGAAGTGTTATGTATCAATTTTGACTTCTATTTGTCAGAGTAGGCAGTGGCCAGTATTTCCCTATAGAAGAGCATGGTATAGGGTAGGGCTTCCCAGCATGCTGAAGGCTTCAATTCCACTGAATGTCTCTGTCTGCCTCTGGTGGTAGGTAGTACGGGGTCACCAAGGGCAGGTGGCATCTAAACCTCAGATGCAAATAAACTTAGTTGTTGATTGGTAAGAGTTAGAACAAATTTTACTGGAGATAATAAGAGGAAATTCTAAATATGAACGAATTTGATGATTACTCAGGTTGAGAAAGCCTAGGACCTTTGGATCTTCAATGTCAGTGCTACTGTTTTCTGTGGTAGGAAAGCCATTTAATCTTTGCCTGATGAGCAGAGATTAAATGTCCTTAGCCTTACTGGGCAGGGTGGTTGTAATCAGGAGCAGAAATCTATGGATTAGCACTGTCTATAGCTCAGAGGATCTGTTGATAGGAAGATGCTATTTCTAATGGAGCTATATAATTAGAAAAAAGTTTAATAACCTGCTGAAGATGTGTCAGTAATGTCTTGTTGATGATCACAGAGGTAAGAAGATTCACTTATGGTCATTGGTCCATTTTTGTCTTGGTAGACTTCCGCTTTACATAAGCCTTAAGTTATGATAATGAAGATACTGTACTAGATGTGAATGGTGGGTGCAACTAAAGAGATGTCTGTCTGAAAGGGAAGGATCATTGTAATTCCATGACTCAGTTTCAGAGGAATGGTCATGGTCTCTGTGTTTCTATTTCTGATTATATTCTGGAAGAAGCAGCTAATTTTAGAATATAGCTTCAAACCTTTTAAGTATCAAGAAACATTCCACTTGGAATTCATTCATCTTTGTCTCTCAGCACCTGTGTGGGTCTGATGAGAAACGATGTAGTTCAGCCCTGAGCTGGATATGCATCTGGATGTGGAAGAAGCACTGAGAAGTAGCAGACTTTGTTTTCTGACCTTAGAGTGACTCTAAAAGCACAGATCATTTAATAGTTGGTGTTTTCATTATTGGTCGCCCTTGACTGAAGAGAAAGTTTTTATGTGTAAGGGATGAATTTGCCTATTCTCCATTGTATCCTGTGAGCCTAGCACTGACCACATGCCCAGGAAAATTTGCCAGATGTACAAATGAATGAATAATAACAAAAACAAATACAAAAAAAAAATGGAGCTTGGCTGGTACATAGGTGGTTCCCTGGAATTGTAATTACTGTATTATGGGGTATATTGTTTGCTGCTTTAGATCTTTTGAAATAGGGAAATAATTTATAAATGTAGGAGAAAATCACAATGTAGACAAATATATCTTTACATATGAATGGCAGTTATTTGCCTAGGTGTAATTAAAATGAGAAATAGATTTTATATACTGTATCATGTACGAAGCTGGGAGGATGGCTGGTAATTCTACTACAGTGACTAGAAAGTGGACAGCCAACACTAGCTCATATACAACATCAGGGGGTTATTTTTCTAACCTGGTGAGAGTGTAACTCTCCTCCAATTTATACTCATGCAATAGATAGTTATACATAGAGATTCAACAGCTCCAGCAAACTTTCTACCACCAAAGATAAGAAAAATGTCAGAGTAAGCTGTAAAAAAAAGTGCTTGGTTTTTAAATGTAGAAATGGCAACTCGCAGCATTTATACAAAATTGCCTATATACAGTGGGTTGCAACTCTGAGACTGAATAGTGAGAAAGTTGCAGCTAGGAGCAAATCTGAGGACATTTGTTTCAGAAGTAAAGGCTTAGTCAGTATTACTACATCCTAGCAATCTGCATGTCATTAGCTTGAGTGCTTTGTATCAGGGTGACACTTTCCATATTGATTTTCTCCTATGTAAAAATGCATTGACTGAAACTCTATTTGCTCAAGATGCATTGTACTCACAAACTTACATGTTGAATGCAAATCTCTTTGTGTAACTAGGTAAGGATAATAAAAAATACAATATTCCAAAAGAAATTTATCTTATAATACTATTTGTTTATAAAAATCTCCCTTATATTTTCTGCCATGCTAATTTGAGATAATCTCAACCCAATTAATGGCTACATGAGTCTTCTTTTTGGTGCTTCACTTTTTTGTTGTAATTTTAGGCATACTCTGTGAATTGTATATGGATAGTGACACAGGAGATGGTATCAGAAGAAAATATAAGTAGCTTGAAGTGAAATAAGTTAAAAAGTGTGAGATAGTAGCTGAGCACCAGTAGCTCACTCCTGTAATCCTAGCTACACAGGAGGCTGAGATCTGAGGATCATGGTTCAAAGCCAGCCCTGGCAAGAAAGTCAGTGAGACTCTTATCTCTAATAAACCACAAGAAAACAGGACATGGTGCTATGGCTCAAGAGGTAGAGCGCTCACCTTGAGCTGAAGAGCACAGGGACAGCGCACAAGCCCAGAGTTCAAACCCCATGATCAAAAAAAAAAAAGTATGAGATCCAGATGAGACAATACAAATGTTAGAAAGTATAAGGTTATATCATAAATTGTGATTTTTCTCACATTATCTATCCTTAGTAATTGAACATAAGGTTGGATTAGACCAATAGTGTACTGAAATCTTTTATGCATTTGAATTTTGCCTTCTTTTTTCTTTTCTGACTCAATGTATTCAGCATATGTTTTCTTCAATAAATGACAAATTTATAGATTTGTTTTTGTCCAGTGTTATAATGGAGATGGGTATTTGTGGCAGAAAAATCAGAATTATTTTCCCTGGGTAAGCAGGATGAAGGCCTAAAGCCTGGAATCACATGAACAAAGTAATCACCAAAACTGGACTTGAGATGACAGAGTGTCATGTCCTTCCCAGATCCAGCACTCTGAGGTCATTTCCAAGAAATTCCATGAGGGGAAATGAAACTTTAAATGCGTAGGACAAGACAGAGTCAAAACTAGTAAGCATTTAAACAGCCAGGACTGATACTCAAAAGATTCTAAAGCAAGAAATCTTTCTCAATGGCCTTTTAATTTTCCAACAAAATGATGCAATCTTTCGTTTTCTTGCATCTCCTCTGCAGGAGGAAAGGTTGTAAGAACTGAGTATGGGAAAATAGAGAGTTGGCTCTTGATTAAAAAATGTGCCTTATCTACATTACAAAACCAATAATCGGCAGGTAGACAGCATTTTACAAAAGGCCAAGAAGATGATGCCAGGGCCTTCTAGTGATGAACAAATATTTCTATAACATATGGCTTTGTTTAGGATGTACTTTTTTCCCAACAAAGAAAATTGTGCAGAAATGCTAAAGTGATCTTTTATGCTTTTAAATGACTATCAAAGTCTGCACTGAGATGGCCACGATCCATCACAATACCACACAATTGCACGTTACCTTGGATACCAGGCTGGCTCTGTATGCTGCAAGTTGCTTCAGGTACTCCTTCTTTGCAGCCTCGGTTTTCTTTTTATAGACCTGCAACAACAAAGCATCTTAAATTAGAAAGTAAATCTGCTTTTGTTTTCAGAGAAGTACCATACTCAATGATAATTACACACAAACACATACATACAAATATATATAATAATAATAATAGACAGCTCTCTCAAGGTTGTTTTCCTCTAAAACAGATTTGAATGAAGAATGGCAAGAGACTAAGATAAAATTAACAATAGTAAAATTCTACATTTTACATAGTACATATGGAAGGATTCATTTGAATTACTTTGAGACTGGAAGCAATTGGCTTAGAGAGATAATGTTGAGGAAGGCTCCTTGGAGAGCCACAGAAGGAGTCAATTAGGCTTTCATATTTATGTAATGGAAAGATGATTGTTTAGCACAGTCATAGTCTAATATATATTTGTAGTTAGCATATTTAGCTAGAGAGAGAGCATATTTAGCATATATGCATGTGCATATGTGTATATATGTATACATATTCCATGCTAAATATGTTAAATATAAAAGCAAAGTCGGAATTCTTCTGCCACGTTTAATAAAAAAAATGGGAGGATATGTAAAAGACTTTTGGGGATCATCACGATTTAAAGACTTTATTCTCAAAGTTCTACTTCCAAGCATTAGCAATTAGAGGTTATGATCAAAGACATCTTTAGGACCCTGAGCACCTGAGAGCCACATGGATGCCAGGCTGCAAGGCCTGCACTGGTGTTTTGCAAGACACAAGGATGTGAGCCTGTGGATACTGAACTTTGAAAAGGTAAAGTGTTCTGAAATGAACCTCCGTTTACACATGCTTTTTCATTTCTGAGATGTTATCATCTCTAGCCCAAAAGTAAAATGAGCTGAAATCATCCACAAGAATTGAAATGACTTGCTTGTACACGAAAGGTCAGATTGCGAAGTTGAACAGAGAGGAGTTATCAGACAGTGCACACTGAGAACACATGATCATCTGCTGCTATTAAGCTAATCCTTCCAGGGGTTTGGACTATGTTTGGCAATCTTTTGAAATCCATCCCAAAGAACAAAATCTTTCTCAGCATTTACTGTGGACACTAAAATTCATTTTCCTTGATATGACTATTTTCAATTTCCCATATTTCAAAATTTACAGCTAGACATTAAGGCTTGGCTAGTATTTTGTAATGCTGAACTCAAAACCAGATCTGGGTTTTGAGAAAAGTGGTTTTAGAATCAGTTTGAGTAGTTAAATATAAATTATGTCTAAAGGCACAAGTATCTGCCAGTTGGCAGCACAGGGAAATTTCTGGTCTCCAATGATGACTGTGGTTTGCCAAGCCCAGGGACACAACTGCGAATTTCAAGATGTGAGAAATACTATTTACTCATGAATATTTTAATTAAAGCAGACTATTTTACTTAGAGTAAATGAATAATCAATCTTGTCAACAGAATTATAATAGGACCCTATGAAGTGAATTTACAAATGATTCTTCTCTAGGGTGGTAGATTTTATATTTGGCATATTGGTATAATAAAAGCTAATTAAAATAAAGATCAAAATTAGTACAATACTATAATTGAATAATTCTGCCATCCAAACAAACTTAAAAATATCTGATTTGGAAATTTTGTTCCTGCTGTTACTTACAGCAAAAAGCCAACAATTGTTTGGTTTAAGTAAAGCAATAGAGTTGCAGGAGTGTTCTCAATTATTGATCCAATTATTAGAAGTGAAAGTCAGATTTATTTCTGGAAGATTGCAGGTGGGAAAAATGCCAGTATAGGGTAAAACCTGTAATAGTCCAGGTTTATTATATATCTTAGTGGCACAATGTTCACAAACAAATAGCTTTTCTAAATTTTATTGATTTATTTTTCTTGGGAGATTGATTTCTGTTTATGGCTTTTCCATAAACCTCTTTTCTAAGACAGAATTTATAATGAATAACATTAAATTGACAGTGTTTATACTTTTTTAATACCTAAAACCTGTTTAAGAGATAGTATTTTCTCCGAAATAGTTATCTATTGAGGACTTGGAAGATAATACTCAGTAAATATGCCTTTGATGTCAATGTACATTGGTGTACCCTGAATAGTTTCATCACATTTTCATTAATATGCTACTCCAAGTGACTTTGTTAGATAAGTAGGGTTCTTGTAGTTTCCAAAGATAAACAACACACTTTGTTCCATAGCAATGCCCAACATGGCATTTTCTAAGAAGTAGCAGATAAGATGGCATTATCAGATGGCTCGAGTCCAGCATCTCCAAAGCTTTCTCTCATCTGGTTTCTGTTGACACAGCGACTGAGTCACTACACTACTATCCCTTTCTGGATCCTGGCAGTTAACACTGCACAATGAGTTAAATTTTGTGAAATTTGTTGATTAAGAACCATTGGAGAAAGGTGGCTAACTCCACGCATTTAAGGTTGAACATTGCCCTGGGTTTTACTCCAGGATCGATGTTATTAGGGGATACCTGCCTAGCATTCAGAGTTCTCTGTTTTCTACAAATGGCTCCCTATTGCCTATTGATGATTAGCTATGTTGGGATCATTATATAAATGCCTAGACACCACTTTAGAAAAGGGTGAATGCATCATGTCACATTATTGGGATTGATGGATCCACTCTATCCTGAATAGCTGCTGATGTTCAGGGGGAGAGGCATATTTCTATAATTGTGTTTAAGAGAGAGTAACCCAGATCAGAATTAATGTCTGAGGTGGCCTTCCCAACAATAATCAGGCCCTTTACCTTTGAGAATTACCTAATAACTCCAATATTACACACTGTGTATATCTCCCCGATGCTGCTTCTAAAATTGGACCAGGATGATGTGTGGATTCCTATATTTAGTAAAAATGTCTGAAGACCTCAATTATGAAAGAATGGTGATAACATGTAAGAATTTCACAAGCAAAGGATGTATGCATGCGTGTGTGTGTGTGTACAGTGTGTGTGTATAAATCTCATTTTAGAATCATATTTAAAAATAATTAGTAGCTGGGTTCTGATGGCTTATGCCTGTAATCTTAGCCACTAAGGAGGCTGAGTTTTGAGGATTTTGGTTCAAAGCCAGCCGAGGCTGGAAAGTGCATGAGACATTTTTCTCCAATTAACCACCAAAAACCAAAAGTAGAGCTGTGGTTCAGTCCCAGTACCAGCATAGAAAAAAATTAGCAAAACATTTCCCCAAAATGTTTCAAAACTTCTAGTTATGGGATAGTCCTTTTAGATAAATAGGGAAAGTCCTTTTTTCATAGAAGCCAAAGAGTTTGGGGAATGCCTTTGGCAATGAATAATCACTGCCGTGATCAAGTGCACAGACCTACACTAGGAGAATGGGTCTGATTTGTGTCAAAGTTAAGTTTGGTAAAGAAATGGTCTCTTTCTCTCTCAAGGGAAGACAAATATTTTAAAGGTATGTGATTCCTACAGTAAATATTAGTACTCAGTTGTGCTACAAAATGGCTTCCAAATGGTCCACAGCTGTTTGAAATAAAGTACAAAGTTGGCCAGATGAGGATTTAGAAATCATAATACATCATTTATCATTTTCTCTAGCTCATCCAAGCACTTTTGAATTTATCCTGTCCTAACTTAGTTATACACTGTGGTTTGTTATTCCAAGAAAGCTACCATATCCTATCTAAGGATTGCATCTTAGTGGTTAAACTAAAACATATATGATGGTTAAAAGGAAACATACGTAGATAGATATCAAATAGTAATTCTAGGGAATGCAAGTCCTGTGCATATGATATAATGCTTCACCAAATCCTTTTAAAAATGCTCCAAATACCAGCAAGTTACACGTGTTTTTAGAGGCTGATAATCCCTAATTAAAATCAGCAGGTCAATGTCACTGAATATGACAAACTGAAAGGAAAATAAGGCTCATAAATCTTGTTTTGCTCTTCAGCTTTCTTCTCTTTCTCTAAACAATTCATCCAACAGAGAAAAGAAAAACCTTATGTATACTGTTTAATTCCTTCTTTCTTCTTTAGTGCACTGGTTTTAATCTCTAGTCATATTTCAACAGTTGTTACAGTTATAAGGAAAAACAAGTGTAAAATTCTTCAAACTCTGAATTTCATTCAAACATTATTAAAAAAACGTAAATTGTGTTTTCTTTTCTGGAGAAGTTCAAGTGCATTTTTCCCACTACTGTTTCCTATTTATAGAAAATACATAGCAATATAGTTGTGTTTAAAGGTGAAGAATTTAATCATAATTCCAAGCTTTATCTTTTAAAATGTGCATCTTCTTTCAGGACTGTTATTATTTAGGTCAGTCAAAGCAAGCACATTTGTATTTTGCCTACAGCTTAGTTCTTAAATGTAGTTACAAATTTCCATCTTGTGTGATTTGCTCAGCATTTTCTTATGGGTTTCAAAACTCAAGAGAATTTTATCAGGTAGCATTCATGGAACTGAAAATATTACATGATTTGACAAAATCTTGCTAGTGCTTTCTTTTAGCACTGTCTACTCCATCTAAGTGTCCCAACAATATTGGTGTGACCTGGTTCTGGGCTGGTAGGAGCCAAAAACAGGCTCCCTGCCTTAAAAGATAGCTATAAAATATGTTTACTGATTTATCAAATAAGGATGACTAGGGAAATTACTGCTGTTCAATTTGCCTTAATCAGTAGATTGCTATGTACCTATGTAATGGGAGACACTAAAGGTATGAATGAAAAAGGGCATAAAAATTATATCTTGTGCACATTATCTTAAATTCTTCCAGCAAGAATGTCACATTTGTATGGATACTCCAATTTTACAGGTAAGAAAACAGACTATAATGGTGATTAGCTTACCCACTGTTTTATGCCAAGTATGTTGCAAAAGAGCCATGGTGTGAATCTAACCAATCTGGTTCAATAAATCCTCTTGATGAAAAGAGTGATATCAATCAAAATTCATTGTATTTATAAACTGATTTGTTGAATGGTAGCTCTTATGTACAACCACTTAAATATAATACAGATATAATTTTTTAAAAATGAATCCATCTTGAGAATCCAAACTCAG